ACTCTGTTTCTCCGGATGCTGCTGCTTTGACAACAAAAAAACATGGCTTCTATATGATGCATAAATGGAGCGGTTCAGCCACTCAATGTCGTATACTCTAGCTTATTGATTTAAACGGATGTCAATAAGCAAAACTGTATATATTGGGTACATGAAAACCCGCGTTTAATGCATCAACATCTTTTGCAAAGCGAGAAAGGAACAGTTTGGAGTGGAGTGAGTTTATTTTGGATTTTCAGGACATTTATGCAAGAGTAACGGAAGGGCATTAACGGTACCATAAAAGGTTAATATAAGAGCGTTATGTGGCTATGCTGAACGATTTTTTCTTACCAATGCTTCCACAACCAAACGCTGACTTACGCTTATTATGATTTCAACAAAATAGTGCCACATCGCACGGCGCAACTTTTAATGGAAAATACGCCGATTGTTGCCGAGAAAAGTGATCTCTCGCTACGATGTAAAATGGCCTTCACGCTCACCTGATTTATCGGTGTGTGACTTTTTCTTATTGAGGGTATGTAAAACACAAAGTCTTCGAGACAAAACCGCACGGTGTAGAAGATTTCAATGAATTACGATCCTTTCCATGGTTCTGTATCAGCGTCTCTCTTTGAATGAATTATCAAGAAGTAAATTGAGATGAATATTGAGAATTAAAGTTGAATATTGTTATCAATTTACCTCATAACTCCAAACAATGTATTTAATTGGATTTAAAAAAAGCAGAGGCATTAGATGCTTTCTAATCACACTCATTCTGACGGTAAGAATGCTTGAAAAGGATGTGCAATGGAAATTGGGATTAGAAAAAAAATTAAATTAAAATAAAACATTTACTATTTTCTAAACTATTACAGTGCTTGGGTTGATTTTCAATATTCTAATAATAGGAACTGACAAACCACAAAACATTTGCAACTTGTAAACAACAAATGTGGGAAGTCCTATTTACTGATTAAAACACATTTATTATTCATGTACAAGAACTATGGCAGTTTATACTCCAGTGTCCTGTTTACTTGCCAATGAAACAAATCTACTAAAATTATTTTATTTGAAATTTTCATATTTGGCAAGGCTCCTATGCAAGACTGATCTTTACACAGTATAGTAAGCCATTAGTTAAATATCGAATCTGCTAGCAATGTGAACAATGGCACATATTACAGTTGTGTGTTCTGTCCAATTTATGGTTTCCATCTGATAAATTGTTGTATCTACAAAAGAAGTCTAGGATACTACGCATTTACAACCAATAAATTTAGCAATTATTTTAAGTATCAAAATAGGACACGTGAAAAATATAACTACCACATATTCTTTGAAGCTTTACAAGCATAATTGCACAAAACTGTGCAAACCACACTGTGCAAGACAAATAAGTAGCAAGAAAGATCTAAAATTATTTTAAAATATCTAGATAATACTGATATCCAACTATTAACCAATTAAAATGATTTAAAAATAATTTTGTATTATTAAAATCACAGGCACTATGAAAGAACATTCATACCACAGCACTTCCAAAAGTAGGAACTGCAGTGGTGATTATCATAATATTTCAAAAGAGACAAGTTTCACAAACCTAGAAACTTAACAGAAATTTTATTAAAACATAAATGAATAATAAAATAAAACAACATGAATTAAAATTGATATCACAATAAATAATATAAATCTCATAACATGTTCGTCACATCACTTAAATGGTTTTGAAATCTGTGTTTAACATAATAACTCACATGAATATATGCATGCAGATATCACAAACAAATTGAAAATAATTTGGATATACATGCCTGACAAGAAAATGAAATGTTCATTGCAATGCAAATCTATTGAGTCAAATCGCATTTTACTCTATGGATATATTTACACCTCCAATGCTGAAATATTTATATGTATTTTTAGTACAATCCAATACGAAAGTAAAAGCACATAAATTTAACAAAAGGATAATATGCAGAACATCAACAATATACAATTAAGGATCTACTTCAAAATATACAAAGCACACAACTACCTTCTGATTTAATCCAAACATGCATATTTCAATCTGGATGCTTGCCCCAATCATGTACAGATGAGAAATAACACATTCATAAATTTCCAATTAATTCCTCCCAAGATTTGGAGGTCATATGAACGACTTTAAGCTTAATTAACCCTGCATTTAAAAAAGAGTATGCACAAGATAAAATTAACAGAATTAATTATTTTTTCCATTTAATAAAAAGAGGTATTTTGAAAAAAGGGACCTATACCTTGGAACAACCGTGAAGCAACATGCTGTACCAGATTTCTGTATAGGGTTAAAAAAAAGGTATAACAAAGATTAAAATGGATATGAGCTCAATAATTTCTCAGTTTGAGGCATATTTTGTTAAATACTAATGTATTTTTACAATATCTCATCTTACTCATTACTTTGAAAATTGGGGTTACTATGCATGGATTCTGAGGTTTAATCATTGCTATTCACAATTTCACTCTATAAAACATAATTCAAAAGAAGATTTGATAGCAGTAAATTACTCTACCGCAATCTCTATTTTAATAATTTAATCTAACTTTTCAATAGCTTTACTTTATAGATACTCTTTAAAAACTCTTCTTTCTTTCACCTCTGATATTTTTTTCTTAAATAATAATACTAATGACAATTAAACATACCTAAACTAAATATTTTAGGTATCTCTAAAAATTTATTGTCGTTATGAGATGCACAATATTTTTGGAACACAGCCCTTCACTTAAACAATACAGGTTCATATCCAAGGATAAAAATACCGAATGTATAATGATTTTGCAACATTTTATGTTATATTTATCCTGTTCTTGGATGAACTGAGCTTTTTTCCTTCTTTGATACATATTGAAAGCTGGAAATTCAGTTCTCTACTTCTTTATAATCTTATAATTAAACACACAATATCTAGCATTATATGAGTAATAAAATATTTGTTTTAAATGTTGGATGCATTTCCCCATCTTGCTTCAATTTTGAGTTGTATCAGGAACGAAACTGAGAATTTATTGAAACTTTTATTATGTCTGCTTGTGAAAGTCAAAAAATGAAGACAAAAGGATATACCGAGCAATTCACCTATTTAACAGCAAGTAAGCATTGTATCTTAAATGATCAACCAACGTAAGTGTATATTTACTAAGACAATACACAAGGCAAAAATAGAAGTTTAATTAATATTATGAACTATCCTTATGGTAAATAACCACTTTGAGAGTAAAATGTGAAATGTGACCTTATTAAATATCTTTATAAAACTCAACTGGTCAATAAATAAAACAGTTTATGAAAATAGTCAATTTTCACTTTTATGGTCCAATTATCCTCTTGAACTTCACTGACTGCAAGGTATGAATGAATAAAAGATCCCAAATATGAAAGTCCACATAGAATACGAGAGACTACAGATGTGGCTGAACTCTGACCAAGAGAAAACGAAAAGAAGAATGTAATTAGAAAAACGTGTTTGTGATTGTCAGAAAAAGTAACAGCAGGAGACAGAAAGAAGGGAGAAAACTACACTATTTCTCTCTAATATCACAAGAGGATGTGAATAATGGGTTATCACCAATAAGAGTGAAATTCTTTTAAGCCCTTTACATTCATTCTACTGCAGTACCGAGGCCAAAGAAGTTTTAAAAGCAATCTTTAAATTACCTTTAGAGAAGAATAAAATCAAGCGTTTCATGATGTAAAATATATACATTTCCCTTGCAGGTTTAAAATGTTAACTATTTTGGAAGTTATTTGAACTGAAACGAAATGTGAAGAATTTCTCAAATGAAAGGTGAAAATGCATACATTCATGTAGCAAATAATACAATTTATAATGTTTTATAGCAATTCTTTTTGTACATATCACAAATAATTTTCATTAATTTATTTATACTATCCACAGCAGTTACAAATGAGAAGGAAAATTCACCTCAACACACTCAAGAAAGAATCGAGTTTCTTCCCTTGCCCAGTCACCAATCTAATAATCAAATACACAAAGAACAATTGCTTGAGCTTAGCAGAGTCAGGTTCATAGAAGTGCTGTTAAAACATTTTATGGGCAAAGTTGGCACTTATTCTATGTCAAATTCAACTAAATGTCAATTCATGGGAATTTACTGTATGTGTTACATGTATTCAAGACACAACATCTTGATTTATGCTGGGGAAACATTCGGTTTGGAGAAAACTTCAATATACATGTGGGTTTCTCCAAAGTTCTTGCCTGTTACATCTTCACATAATATGCCATCATTGACAGCAGCATTTAAGAAATCTTCAGATTATTATACCCCTTAAAATCATGAACTGATATATTGTCATTTCTGTTTCTTTCTTCAACCCTTTCCCCAATTCCTTCCTCTCTCCCCACTCTCCAATTCACTCCTCTCTGCAATTTCGTATTCATTTCTCTCTTCATTCTAGAGTTCATAATAATATGTTCTCCAGGAACATACCCAATAAAACCGTGCCCAACCATTTAGTTTTGTAGAGAGAGAGAGACATGATGAAAAATAATGATCATGAAAAGAAAACACTGTTAAAAATTCAAACTTCAGCCATTCTACTGAAAGAATGGTTTACATAAAAAGCACCCACTTTTTTGCACATCCTGGTAATTTCATCTTGAACACCTAACATTGGGTCCTTGTGGGGAAATGATATGAGGGCAGAAAAAATAGAAGCTGAAGAGATTATTTTGAAAAAACTTTAGCAGTAAGTTCAATAAAATCCACCAAGTGTTATGTTTAAACTAATTTAAATTAAGTTGAATCTCAAGCTCTCACAATTCCCACAAACCCACATTTGATGAGTGCCAATGCCCAAGTAATTAAATACACAAGTGCCACCAATAATAATATTAATTAAAACAAAAAGAACAAGCACACAAATAACAGACTGAACATAGTTCTCAGTATAACTGCAATTCCTTGAGGCTTTATCCTTACAGTTTGGCTATGCGAGATTTACAGACTGCAAACTTCTTATTGAAAATGTTCGATTTCACAGCAACATTACAATACTTAATCGATTAACAAAAGTCCTATGAGCATGTAAACATTCCTACTGCATACCATGTAAATTCGCAAATGGAATGAATTGTTTCTCTCAACATGCAGCAAGCAGCTGTTTTAGCCACCAAGAAACAATCAATGTTCCATTTTCAAAACTGATACTGATGGTCGTTGTTTTGAGGACTAGTGATAACACTCTGAAAAACAAACAAAACAAACATCATGAGAATGAAATTAAAATAAAATAAAATGCAAAGTTGAATCAGAGATCTCATCAAGTTATTGTGTTCCGTAAACATTGTGTTCCATAAACAAAATAAATTTAAATAATGTAATTATTAATTTAAAAACGACTTGAAGGAATCATCATACAAGTTTAAAATTTTAACAAGGTATCTCTATAACAAAAAGGACTTTTCTCATTGATGAAAAATGATTATATTCTTAAAATCCCATATGAAAATTCTACTAATACATTTACACACACATAATATCATGAACTATCACCCTTTACTCTAACAGCAACAACAAAAATTATAATAATAAAAAATTACTGTACTATTTTTAATATTGTAATATTTTATTTTTGAATTACTGATATTTTGAACAAATGGTACACATAACATAAGCAAAAACAATACAACTTTGATATTTGCTTTCATTCATGATTACTATTGATACAAGTATTTCACTCTTTGCAATTTTAATGACTAGTCATAAGAATTTAAGAACAATGATGGTGCTTGTACAAAAAAAAAGGTAGAAGTAGGAGAATTGCAGAATATTTCATTTTGAAATACTTTTTAATAAGAAATGACTAGCTACCTGTCATCATAACATATACTCCCAATGTACTACTTCTCAGGGGTCAAAATACTGCTATTTGCCAATTGTCAACTAGAACATTGCTATCAATATTACTTAAATACTCAATAACCTATCAAATTCAAACTCAACAACCTATCAATAACCTATCATATATCATCAAACAAAAAGAAAACATTTTAAACATTTTGTAAATGAAGAAACAAAATGAAAAAAACAATGGTCTAAATTTGTTAGAAACTATTAGATTATAATATTCTTGATTGATGAGAGATGCACACAACAAAATTTTCTAAAAGTAGTAATAGTTTTATATTATTTAACATAAAGAGACTTATCCCCATATAGTTTCAAAAAAAAAGAAAAATATTTTTCAAGTTTCAACTACTTAAAATAATGAGATTTTCCATATATTACAGCCAACATGAAACTATGATTTCACATAAATATATATTTTAAGATCACATTTACTGTTAAAAATTGAAGATTCATAAAAATTAAGAGCAACTAAGCTCAATGTTCATGTTTTGATCATTTTTTAGAATAAATTCATATAATTTTCTGAATCATTATTCCTTAAGAAATATTTCGTAATAATACCGAAGCAGAAAATTAAAAGAACTAAAACATTATCTTGCAGCTAATTTATATTTACTAGCCAAGAAAATTCAATGAATATCACATATATCCATTGACATTTGATTAATCTTTGTAATCAATGAACTTGCTATTTTAAACCTGTACTAATTTTAGAGTGAAAAATAAACAAGTTTTTATTCTTAAAATATATGCGTAAAATAAAATGGTACACATGTTTTTTATTACAAACTTAAAAGAATGGAAACATTAGTAATGCGCTTGAGAAGAATACTAAAGAAGTTCATATATTCCAAAAACTTAAAAATATTGAACCAAAACTAAATGCAGAATAAATGAAAAACTTACAAACAGCATTAAATTTGTAAACCATATTTTCAGTGAACATTTCATTAACATATACCTATATGTTAAAGGAAATAATTTATTGGCATCTCACAAAAATTGGATTTCTGCCACACAAATTTTAGGAAAACTAAAGTGAATAATTAAACATTATAGAATGAAAATTGCGAAGACTTAACATTCAAGCAAATCAATTGAAACGACTTTTACAAAGAGTTTTATAAGATTGCATAATAAGATTTGCCGGATAAGTAACTCTTTTTATCTACAAATGTAGAAATATCTCCTACAGACAAATTCCAATGAAAAACTTTAAATGTGGAAAACTCTGTTTGGTCATTACATTTAAAGAGCAGCATTCGACGAGTAATTACCCTTGAAATTAATATTACAAAATTTTTATGCATTATGTATACTGTCAAACCATCTATTGAGACCAAAGTTATACAGTTTGAGGACAATAGTTTAGATTTTTAAACCAAATGTACTGCAAGAAGTAATAATTTGTATGCAAGTTCACAGTACTATTCGTGGACAAGTTCACAATGAGTTCAAAATTCTTTTCATATAAGAGCTGAAAAATATAGTTGTTTTTATCTGTATTTCTTCAAACAATACCATAATGGATATTTCAATGCAAATGCAACAAATATGCAACATAGTTTAAAAAAAATCTAAAATACAAAATAAATGAAATTACTATGCTGTCCAACAAGTGCTTTAACATGTTCTGTAATGCTGTGCACTAGTGATCTGATGTATACCTCTTGAAACTGTAGCACAACGTAGTGCAGATGACACAGATTCAGATAAATTTTGAACAAAAGATTATTAAAAGTTAATTAAATTATTTTAATAAAAGACCCTTCCCTCTCCCTTCTAGAAGTAATAGATCTGTTTGTTTGTAGTCAATTAGTGCTATCATAGAATTTTTAAAAAAATCTCTGAAAATCTAATACATACACTCAAAGTTATGAAGAGCTACCAAGTAGAAAAGATAAGTACATTCCATGAGGAATAACAATAATGTTCATAAACAAAAATTATTTCACTGAACATATTAAATGTGAAGTAATAAATATTGATCAACTGTCAAGAAATTATTATAATAAAAATGAAACTTCACAACAAACAAATCTCCATAATGTAAGTCTAAAAAACCTTTATTGGAATACATCAATGACAAGGAAGAGATTCAAGAACACACAAATGGATCACTTGAAAATCGTGAAGACTATTCATTGACTAGTATTACAAATTATCACAGTATTTTAATTTTCATACAATTATGCATGCAAGCATGCATGCTTTAAATGGGTGAAGAAACACTTTAACACATATACTCCTGTACAAGAAAAACAAAGCACACCATGCATTCAAAGAAAAAGATGGCAACGTACCAATAAGAATTGTATCATTTGGGAAAATTCATACTACATAAAATTGTGAGCTTCAACACTTAGCTGGCTGTGAATATCAGCATCCTCCTGGGTTAATGAAAGCATGCAACAAGAAAAATTCAAAGGATCTAATCATAAATCAACAGAACATTTTATCTACACCAAAATTAGCCAAGTTAAAAAAAAAATCCTACAAAACATTATTTCTGATCTAAAATTGCGTGTTTAATAACAAATAATTAAAATAAAGGTTTGCTGAAATGTTTAATTGAGGCTATTCGTTCTAAAGTAAATTTGGTATTTTGTTTATATTTCTAACAAACTCTTGGTTTTGTTGTTGACAGAATTGGATTTTCGAATAATTTTAACAGGAAAATTGTCAATAGATAGTAATACACTGCATCTGTTGTTGCAGTGTACTCTCCAAAAAATGTCTACAAGTAAAATCTACTTCAAGTCAAGCCTCATATAATAATCATTTATGTATTAAAAGGTCGAAATCTATCCATTTCAGTTTACTCTCCCAATGCTCCACTTCAGGAAGTGGATAAGGACAGAATGATACTTTTCAGCCACGGTTCCCACCCCTTTTTTTTTGTACACATCTCAAACTATTATATTTTACCTAAGCAAATATTTTCGAATGTCAATTATTTAAAAAATAAAAATATTATGGAGAGCAGTTATATTGGTGACTATTTTAAAATAATATGAATATGAGCAGTATTACATTTGATGCTTATGAAAATATTTAGGGTTCTGAAGTACACAATGTAGAAATGTAACTATGAAAAGTTGGTATATCAGAGAAGATAACCATTTTCAATAATGTAAAGAAATGTGTGTTTAATTTTAATATTTCATAAACTTCACTGAAAAAATTAACTTCTGATCATTACAAATTGAAATTTGAATTTTTAGAAAAAGAGCTTTTTTCCCTTCATTTAATGCTTTTGCTGAAGTGCTGCTAAGCTTTACCTACCTTGCTAATAAGCATTTTAAATATACCTATGCCAATGACGTTCTATTTTATGGATGATAAAATATGCAATAAAGTACAACTTTAGAGGAGAGTGTACACAAAAAAATTTAGTTCATATTCCCTCCAGAAATTATCACAATTAATTTTATAATGGTTCAAGTTGAACTATTTAAAATTACTTATGCAGTTTTCATGTACACCTTATAAAATTCATACACAGTACAACCTGTCAAAATTTGCTGCAGTAAATTTCATTTTATAATACATGACTGAAAATATTACTACATTAACCTTAATAGGAAACAATGTCTTCAAAATTTATAGTCATTCCTATTCTTAGTTTTGATTTCATTTTTGCATGTAAATATCCCCAAGGTTAAAAAACAACAACAAAAAACTATGACTCTGACTGTGACAAATTTAATCTAAAATCTCTTCCTTACTCCTTTTTCAATAACATTTGTTAATAAATAAACATTTACATAGAAGAAAATAAACATTTCTTCTATGAAAATTTTCGTAACTCCGAACTACAGGAATAAGATTTATTTCATTTTCATAAGCATTTATTTTTTCATTTTTCATTCATTTTATTCAAACAAGTAAATTCCAAGTCATGCCAACAACAGATACTCTAGAAAAATTTTACAGACACTATGTTTGGTTTTTAGCTTTTATTAGTTTCTAAATGTAGTTTCAGTGTAGATCAATAGATATTTAATAAAGTTTACTTTAAGTCAACACAATATAGAACACTTAAATAAAGAAAAGTTCCGCAAGGTAATGGTGCATAAACCTAAGGAAAAATTTTGTGAATCAAAGGTACAATCGAAGATCAAATTGTTGAAAGTAAAGCAAGGCAGAAATTGATTTTACTTCAAAATGAAACCAGTTTGATAATCTAACAATGCTAATCCAAATACCTGAGATGTCTATTCACAGACAATAATAAGGAAATTACAATCGCAACCACAGAGAACCCTGAAGAACTAACTATAGTATTATCTTACATAGTTATCAATATATTATACTATTCATTAAATTATTA